GGGCCGCCCCCCCCCCGCGGGCCGCCGCTGAGCGTCTCCGCGGCTGCCGGCCGGGCCGCGAGGCAGAAGTGAGGCGGGCGGGCGGGCGGACCCGGGCGGCTTCCCCCTCCCCTCCCTGCCCTCCTCCCCTCGCTCGCTCGCTCCGCTGCCCTCCGCAGCCTCCCCCGCTCCTCCCCGGCCGTGGCGGCGGTGTCGCGGCGCCGTCGCGGGCCCGGCGGCGCGGCGCGGGGGCGATGCCCGGGGCGGGGATGAGTTTTAATCCTTAGCTGCCCGCGCCCCCCCGCTTCCTTCCTGCCGCTCTCGCCTGCCGGCGGCGGGGGCGGCGCGGCCCGTTCCCCGCGCGGGCGCTGTCGCCCGGCTCCCTGCGGCGCCCATGGGGGGCAAGCAGAGCACGGCGGCCCGCTCGCGGGGCGCCTTCCCGGGCGTGTCGACGGACGACAGCGCCGTGCCGCCGCCGGGGGGCCCGCCGCACTTCGCCCATTACCGCGCGGGCGGCGGCGGCGGCGGCGGCCCGGGCGCCGACTCCACGTACGCCCATGGCAACGGTTACCAGGAGACGGGAGGCGGTCACCATAGAGACGGGATGCTCTACCTGGGCGCCAGGGCCTCGCTGGCCGACGCGCTGCCCCTGCACATCGCGCCGCGCTGGTTCAGCGCGCACAGCGGTGAGTGCCGCGCGGGACCCCTCCCCAGCCCCGCGCTCCCCGGGRCTCTCCCATCCCTCCCGCATCCCCTGGGTGCTGCAGCCTCCCCGTGGCCGCCAGGCCGCAGCTGCCCCTTGCGTGGTCCCCTCCCCGTCCCCTCCAGCGCCGTGGGCGAGCGCTCGGGCTGGCACCCGCTGCTGTCAAGGTCAAGGAGGCGACGGGTTGTGGAGGGAGGAGGCTCGTGCCCGTGKTGGGGGGGGGGTCTGGCGCTGGCGGGGAGGGCTGGGACGCGGCATCCCCATCCCCCAGGAGCTGGGCGAGAGCYGCTCCTGCCCGTTGCGACGGGGAGGGGGCCGGCAACGGGGCCCAGCGGCTCCCCCGTGCCGCGTGCCGGGAGAGGAAGCCCTCGGGAGCGAGGAGCGGGAACGTCCCTGCTTTGTTGCGCCGGATGAAGGGCCGGGGAGAGGCGGCCGCGGGCTTCCTCGCCGGAGCCAGCTGGCAGCGCGGCGCCGCGCAGCAGGAAGCAGGGGGGGAAGCGGGAGCCGGTCGGGCGCGCGCAGGAAACRCGCCCGGCTCCGAGCGGGGATGCGGGGGCCCCGGTGCAACCCACCCCGCTGCGCCCCCACGTGCATCCCGCCCTCCGGAGGGGCGTCYGCCCGGGAGCAGGGCTGTGTCACTGACCTAGTTCTGGCTGGGCGCAGGGAGCGAGGGGGGAGGTCCTCCCTTCCCCTGCCGGCCGGAGGGGAAGTCATTTCAGGGATGTCTCCTTGCATTTCCTGGAATAGTCTGGGATTTCGCTGCCACCCRGGCCCCCGGGCTCCCTTTCGGGCCCTCTGTGCTCTCGTTGCATGACGCGGTTCCAGGAATTTCATTACGCCTCTTGGGACCATGCCTCATTTTCGGGAAGGAGGGAAACCGAAGCAGTGGGTGAGCGCAAAGTGCAGAGTCAGGCTCGCGGGGCCCGCTGCCCTCTTGGGGGCTGCGTGTTCTTCCCTAYGCCCTTTCTGCCGTGTGTCTCTTGCTGAATCCCCCGGCATGGAATATCCCYGTGCGAGCTCCCACGGGCACCTGCATCCCACCGGCCACCACATGTACTCGGGAGCAGGCGCCGAGCCCCGCTCTGAACTCTCCTGCTCCGTGACCTCGCGCAGGCGCCACCGCTGCTCTCCTTGCTCCGTGCCAAAGGAACCCGAAGCGCCAGAATCCCCCCGGGCAGCCCGTGAGCCCCAGGGTGTTCCACGTGCTGGGCCGCCTTCTGCTGAGCCCATCCCGACGGGAAATACGTGCTTTAGTTCCCAAACCACAGCACTGAGGGGCAAAACCTGTCCTTAAAAAATAAGGCGAGCGCAAAATGGGGGGAGCTTTTTTTACCTTCTGTAAATTAGCAAGACCCTGAAGCTCAAGCCGCCGTCCCTGAGCCTGCGGCGCAGGCTGGGGAGATGCTGCAGGGACCGGGTTTTGCCAGGGCCTCTTTGGGCCCCCCGAGAGCGCGGGCAGCAGCGAGAGCTGTTCAGGCCATGCTGTGGCCTCTCCTGGTGGCTTTTCTTCCTTGCTGCTAACTGGTAGGAGCAGCAGCGGAGGATTCCGAATGCCGGAGCRGGCTCCTGCGCTTTTCTTCTCGGTGTTCTTGGTTGGCGGATGTCCTCCTCAGCAGTGCCAAAACCCCTCCTCATCTCCGCTTGCGGTGCCGGGAGGTGTCACGGGAACGGCGGCCTTGCTCCAGAGCTGTGCTTGGGGACGAGGAGCCGCTGCTCCGTCGCTCTGGGCCTCCCGGAGAGGCAGGAGGTCTCCCACAGCCCTGCCGGGGCCTGGCGAGCGGACGTGGAAGCTGCTCTGGGAGCAGGGGAGCCCGAGCGCCTCTTCCCAGCAGCCGGGGCGAGCGAGAGGGTCCGGCTCCTGCTTGTTGGGTTGGGGCAAGTCCCTCTCTCCCAGGGTGTTTGGTCATTCCCGTTATGAGGCCGTTCTCATTTCCTGGCRGGGACTTTCCTGGCTGTGTCTGCCAGCCAAATAAGAGAAATAAATGCTACAGCCCCTCCTGAAACCACTCTGGGGYTTCCTCAGTTGCTCAGGCTTCCTGGGGTCTGTTTTCAGACAGGGGGAGATGACAAAAGGGCCTCCCACAAACTTGGGAGCTTGTGTTTAGCCCTAGACCCGTTCTCCMTAGCTCCGCGCTGCCTAGATCCTCTTGGGAGAGCCAGAAGGAAGGATKCCCGCTGTCTACCAGGATACGTTTGCAGCTTTATATGGTTTCTTAGTATTGGTCTTGTTATCCATCTTCAGCATAGGATCTCGGGGAGTTTGCAGAGACTATAAGTAGCTTAAGTTGATCTGGAAATCCCCCCTCATCGCCCAAAGCCCTTGGATTTACCGGAGCTTCACACACCCGTATCTGCCCGTCTGTCAGCCAGCCCAAGGAGATGCCTAGCTTGTCTTTCTGTGCAATGCCACGGGGAATATCACGAGCGCTCCGTGCGCTGACAAAATGAGCTTTTGCCCAGGAGCAGCAGAGCCCTGAGGTCTCCTTTGCCCGGTGACTGCTGCGATTTTGGCAGCCCCTGGACCTCAGCAGGAAGGTTCAGCCTTGGGCCGCGTGCGGCCAGAGCAGAGACAACAGCCRTGGGTCTGGCGGGTTGTGTCCTTCCCTGGGCAGTGCTGAGCCTGGAGCTGGGAAGGGAGAGGAGCTGGAAGCGGCGCTTGGTCCAGCCCCGGGACACGGAGCCGCTGTGAAGGGAAGGTCCCTTGGGGGAGCAGCTGCCAACCTGCATCTCAGGAGCTGGGTTGGCAAACGCAGACCTGCTCTGCCGGCTGGCAGGGGCACGTCTGTAACACGTCCCTGCTCTGAAAGGTTCAAGTCAAGGCTTTTCTCATCGGTGCACAAAGATGCTCCTGTACAAACCTCTCCTGTCTTGGTAGTCTCCAAACCAGAAGTGAGAGACTTAATCCCGGCAGCCCGTGCTCGCTGCACCCATGGGCTTTCCTGGCAGCAGCTTTTCACCATCCAGGCACAGTACCTGCTTACCCGCCTTCCTCTAGAGGGGCTAGAGGAGGAGGAAGATACCCTGAGGTCTGCAGAAACCCATAAATCCATCAGAAGAGACCGAGCAAGAGAGAAGCACCGAGGGCTAGAAAATGGGAGCTGGAGACACAGCCTGAATWTATGGGAGGACTTTGAGCTGGCTGCTCGGGCTTGGCTCACCCCGCAGCATCGCACGGGCTCCTCCGGGGATGCTGCGGCCGACGCTCTCGTGCTCGCCGGCCTGACCCACTTCCTAGCTAGGATTGTCCTCCCGGCCCGTGACGTAAGTTTATCCCGTGCTGGGTTTGCTTTGCTGCAACGTGTTTGTCCCGAGGCCCGGAATAACCATCAAGGCTTCTCTTATGTATTAATGCGCTGTTAGGGTTGCTCTCGCTCGCGTTCACCCGCCCGAGAATCCATCAAACACAGACATCTTTGGTGGAGGAAGGATGCTGGAGCTGGCACCCAGCCAGAGGAGCCCTTGAGAATCACGGGGAAAAAAAAAAAAGCTGCTAAACGCTGAAAATTAATTTCAAGAGAAACACAGGGTAGACAGAGAGGGAGAAAAACCCACTTTGGAAAAAAATAGCTTTTCTTTCCTCCAGTGTCATCTCCCYCGTGGCAGATCAGAGAAGCAGCAAAGAGCTCTTTGTTTTCATGGATTCCCTCCACGAGACCCGGTTTGTGGCACCTCRGTGGGAACCACCCAGCACATCTCCTTGCCTGCTGCTGCTGCGTTGCAGCCCAAAATGTGCCCAATATGTGGATTTAAATAAACAGCAGGCGGCCGCCTCTCAAAACTTGCCTCGGYGACAGCCCCGGGCCTCGGCCCACGGGGAGCACACGGGATTTGTGCGAGCAGCACGGAGCCGTAACCCGGCCCGGGCAGGGCGGACGGCGCCGACGAGGGCGGGTATTTTTAGAGGGCAGCTGTCGGCCACACAAGAGCAGGAAGGCAGCAGCGGGTGGCCGGGCCGAGCAGCCCTCGCTCRTTGCCTACCGGGTAGAGATTCCCGTTTCTTCACGTGTTCCGCTGGAAATGAGGCGCTTCAGGGGCCAGGGCCGCCCGCCTGCATCCTGCCCACAGGCCCCAGGGTGGCTCAAGGGAGGTATCAGGGCCCACGGGAGCAGGGAGTTGCAGGAGGCCGCGGGAACCCAAGGGTGGAGGAGGAGACGGCCGGGAGCTGCCGCTGGGCCTTGCCCTGGCCTGTTGGGTTGGAGCCCTGGGGCTGCAGGGAGGCCCAAAGCAACGGGATRTGGGTCGTGCACGGAGGAGCAGCTGCCGTGGGAGCTCCGCGGCGGCTTCACCTTGCCGACAGGAGCTCCGTGGGCTCCTCCTYGAGGCCGGGGTTAGTCAGCGATGTGACTCACGAGCTGTCACCTGACTGCTCGCTCCCAGGCGCAGCTCCGCGCCAAGGGGAAAAGTCCAACTCTCCCTTTCTGCCCSGCTTTCCAAGTTGTCGCCTCCTTCGGGGCTTCCGGAGAATCCCGGGTGTTCTTCCTGCCTTGCCAAACGGGCAGCCGAGGGCCYTGTTGCTCCGGGCGCTTCCGATGAGCCCAGGGCTTGCTGCCCTCAGCAGGGCTCGCGCTCAGACCTTCTCTCTCATGCACAAAGCGTTCTGGAGGTACCTGCAAGTAAATACATGTATAGTCCGTTGCCATGAGGCTGGAGGACACCTTGAGACCCGTCCRAGTCATTAGTGCCTTTGCTGTGCTGTCACCAAGGACCCTCTGCCTGACCTTGTTGTCCTCTGGGGGGGCTGAAATGCACATTTGTCTACAAAAGCAGCTTGTTCTCAGGGATTTGGGGAGTGTTTCTGCAACCAAAGACGACCAGCTGGAAGGCAGGGTGGCCCAGGCTGGAGCTGATCTTGCAGCATTAACCCAGCAAGGCTCTGAGGAGAGCAAGAGGAAGGGAGACCCCAGTGCTGAAAGCCGAACCGGGTTTGCTGCACGTGTGACTACCGAGTCACCCCTGGGCAATGGGCTAGCAAGGGGCCACTGCCACAGAGTGGATCTTGGCCCCAAATTGCAATAAAAGGGGCAACACTCACGTGGGGCAGGCGCGGGGGCTGCTCGGGGGCCGTTTGCACATCATCCCTGCGGATGCACGTGCGAGGAGGAGGAGGGCTCTGCACCTGGGTGGCTGCTTAGGGGTGCTGCAGGTGCCGGGCCTGGGAGCGCTCCAGAGCACGGGTCCCCGAGGGGCTCCCCTTCCCCTCTCACCTCTCCCGCCCCTTCCCAGCTCTCCGGCTTTCCTCAGCTCCGCTGCTGCAGTCTGCTCTGCTTCTTCCCTTCCTCCCACGCCGCCTCCATAAGAAACCAGCTGGCTAAAAAAAATTCTCTGCATCCTGAATTGCAGCGAGCGGCTCCGGGCTGCTGCAACACAGAGCCCCTCATTCCCTGCACTCCCAYGCCTGCATCCCGCTCGCAGGGAAAGGGAAGGCGACGCTCGAGCCGCCTTGTCGCCCGCAGCAGCCACGCGGCTCTGCCTCCCTTCCGGCCCCAGGGAAGGGGGATGTTTTCTGTTCCTGGTGCCTTCCCCACCTCCCTGCGACCTTGAGACGCTTGGCTGGCCCTTTGGAGGAGCCAGGGGAGGAGGCTGCTCTGCTCTTTCCTGCCTACGTGTTGCCGCTCGGGTGGGCCCTCATGCCGAGCTCAGCGCTTCCCGAGCCKCCTCCCCGCGGCTCCAGCCGTGCTGGTGATCGTCTGTGCCGTCCAGCTGCAGGTTTGGGTTCAAACGCGGGTTGGGTTCAAACCCAGGTTGGGTTGGGTATGTGGACTCTGCAGATTTCCTTCCCTCAGCTAGAGTCACAGCCCCCGCGCCCCGATGCAGAGCCCGGCTTGGCTCGGGAGGTGCTCWGCTCCAGCACCGCGCCGCCCATGGGTGCAGGGGCTCCGTGCCGGATTGGACACGTGCGGCAGGGAGCAGGCGTGAGGAGCAGGAGTGACTCAGGCTGTGGCAAAGCCACGATTAGGTCTGAGGTCTCCTCCCTCACGCCCTACGGCCACTGGGAGCCTTGAACCTCAGCCCCAAAGGCTACGTACGGGATAAGCTGCATGAACCTTTGGCGATGCGTTGGGGCTCGGCATGCCCGGAGGATGGCTGGGTGGCCACTGGGGCCACCAGGCTGTTTGGTGGCTCCTCTGCTGTGCCAGCATCCCCTGTGAGGTGCTGGCTGAAGGCTGTGACTTCACTTTGCACCCAGTGGTCCAGCCAGGTGTTTGGAGGCTTGCAGAACATCACTTTGGTGTTAGGTGGTGCTCTGGGAAGAGGATCTCAGCAGAGGTCCGCAGCRGAGATCCTGGTGATGCCCAAGCGGTTTTGCTGCAATGCTGGGAACGTCCTGATGGAGGCTAAAGTGCCTTCTTGTGTGCTGTCCACATGCCTCCTCACGTTGTCCTGGGACTGTTGCTTTCAAACAATGAGATCATCTTAAACTAAGGGGAATTTGTTTCCTAGCCAAGTAGGAGCRGTTGGGTCTGAGTATCTGGACTCTGCAGATTTCCTTCCCTCATCTGGAATCACAGAATCCTTAAGATTGGAAGGGACCTCTAGAAATCATCCAATCCAACCCTCCTGCACACACAAGGTCACCYAGAGCAYGTGGCACAGGCKGCATCCAAGCGGGTTTGGGAGATCTCCAGAGAAGGAGACTCCACAGCCTCYCTGGGCAGCCTGTGCCAGGGCTCTGGCACCCTCACTGTCAAAAAGCTTTTCCTCAAGTTCCTGTGGAGCTTTTGGAGCTTCAGTTTGTGGCCRTTTCCTCTAGTYCTGTCASTGGCCACCACTGCAAAGAGGCCGCCCCMTCCTCCTCACTGCCTCCCYTGAGGTATTTMYASACACTRMTYAGGTCCCCCCTCAGCCTTCTCTTCTCCAGGCTGAACAGGCCCAGCTCTCTCAGCCTTTGCTCATARGGCAGATGTTCCAGGCCCCTGATCATCCTCGTAGCCCTGCGCTGGACTCTCTCCAGCAGCTCCWCATCCCTCTTGTCCTGGGGRRYYCAGAACTGGACACAGTCTCCAGATGTGGCCTCACCAGGGCTGTGAGGAGGGGGACAAACCCCTCCCTGGATCTGTTGGAGATGCTCTTCTTAATGCACCCCAGGATCCCGTTGGCCTTCTTGGCCACCAGGGCACCCTGCTGCCTCATGGTCATCTTGTCATCCACCATGACGCCCAGGTCCCTCTCTGCAGGGCTGCTTTCCAGAAGGTCAGTCTCCAGCCTGTGCAGGTGTCCGGGGTTATTCCTCCCCAAGTGCAGGACCCTGCACTTGCCCTTGCTGAACTTCATGAGGTTTCTCACCGCCCAGTTGTCCAGTGTGTCCAGGTCTCTCTGGATGGCAGCACAGCCCTCAGGGCCATCAGCTCCTCCTCCCAGTTTGGTATCATCAGCAAACTTGCTGAGGTGGCACCACGTCCCTTCATCCAGGTCGTTAATGAATAAGTTGAACAGAACTGGACCGAGGACTGACCCCTGGAGGACACTGCCAACCACAGGCCTCCAACCGSGCTCTGCACCACTGCTCACCACTCTCTGCACCCTGCCATCGAGCCAATTCCTAATCCCCCTCACTGTCCACTTATCTTCCCACACCTTCAGAGCTTGCCCAGGAGGATGCTGTGAGGGACAGTGTCAAAAACCTTGCTCAAGTCCAGACAGACGACATCCACTGCTCTCTCCTCCTCTATCCAGCCAATCATTCCATCATAGAAGGCGATCAGGTTAGTCAAGAATGATTTCCCYGTGGTGAATCCATGCTGGCTACTCCTGAGCACCTTCTCCACGTGTTCAGAGACAACAGCCAGGATGAGCTATTCCATCACTTGTCCAGGGATGGAGGTGAGGCTGACTGGCCTGTAGTTGCCTGGGTCCTCCTCTTCCTTGCCCTTTTYGAAGGCTGGCGTGACATTGGCTTTCTTCCAGTCCTCAGGCACCTTCCCTGTTCTCCAGGACCTTCCAAAGATGATGGCAAGTGGCTTGGCTAKGACATCCACCAGTTCCCACAACAGTCTGGGGTGCATCCCATCAGGGCCCATGGATTTGTGGGTATCACATTGTCTAAGTGCTCTCTGACCCAATCCTCTACCCAGGGCAAGTCTTCCTCTCTCCAGGCTTCTTCTCTTGTCCCTAGGGTCAGGGATTCCTTTGTAAAGGTGGCATTCAGCAACTCTGCTTTCTCTGTGTTTTTCCTAACCAGGGCACCCACCCCCTTTACCAGCAGACCCACATTCTCCCTAATCTTCCTTTTGCCATTGATAYATTTGGAGAAGCTTATTATATTTAAGATCCCTTGCCAGATTTTGTTCCAAGAGTGCCTTAGCTTTCTTTGTCACATCCCTGCATTCCCTGACAACATTCCTGTATTTCTCCCAAGGGGCCTGTCCTTTCTTCCCACATTCTGTATACTCATGATCGCTGCAGCCAGGACTACCCCCACCTTCACATCTCCACCAAGTCCCTCTCTATTTGTTAGTACCAGGTCCAGTTATCCACCTGTCCTCGTTGCCTCCTCCGCAGCCTGGGTCAAGGTTACTGTCACAGCACTGCAGGAACCCCCAGGACTGCTCGTGCCTCGCTGCGGTGTCTTCCCAGCTGCTCTCAGGGTGCTTGAGGTCCCCTGTGAGCACCAGGGCCTGTGACCACGAGGCTCCTCCCAGCTGCCTGTAGAAGACCTCATTGACCTCATTGGCCTCATTGGCCTCATCAGCCTCCTCATCCCCATCAGGTGGCCTGTAACAAACACCCACCACAGCACTTCCCCCCTTAGCCTGCCTTTTAACCCTTCCCACAAGYTCTCCACCTGCTCATTATCCTCTCCACCTGCTCCTCATCCACTCCCAGGCTGAGCTCCRTGCCTCCCAGTTGCTCTCTCACATACAGAGCGACTCCCCCACCTCGCCTTCCCAGCCTGTCCTTCCTAACGAGCACATGGCCTTCCATGACAGCGCCCCGGSYRTGGGRGCTATCTCACCACGTCTCTGTAACTGAGGTCTGTGGCCTCATTTGTCTGGTCCTCAAGTTCCAGCGCCTCGTACCTGTTGAATGTGGTCCCCTGGGGGGTGATTTGGGCCAGGGAAGAGTTCTCCTGCCACCTCAAACAGCGACCCATTTCCATGGTTGTGCATCCCTTGGTACTGTTAATTCTGCCCCCTCTGCCCTATGGCAGGAAGGTGGGGGATCCTCAGATGGGTTTGGGGGGTTCTCGGGGTGCCCTTGCTGGGACGAGTGCAGAACATGGCTGCCCCTTTCTGTTTCTTCCTCACGCTCCCTGATGCCCCTCAGCCTTCCTGCCGCCTCYTTCAGCTCCACCACGAGGCTCAGGCGGTCGTGCCCCTGCTCACACCTCGGGCAGCWCTTGTTTCTGCCGCTGCCTGGTAGCATGGAGAGGCTCAGACGCTCCCCACACCTGGAGACCTGCAYTGCCGCCTGTTTCCGTGGCCGTTCAGTCTGTCCCCACAGCCTTCCTGGTGCTGGTTCTGTGCTGAGCGGAGACCTTGGCTTCGCCTGCTTTGCCACCGACGGGAGAGACTGTGGAGAGAGCCCCTTCCTGAGCTGAGGAGAGTCCCTGCACCTCCTGCCTGCGCTGGCTGCCACGCAGACCTACGGTYGCTTGAGCTCCTTGGGGACAGCTTTTAGATTCCCGCCTTCCCCGCGGGGTCAGAGCCGCCGCTGGCCCAGGGCTCCACCTGGGGCTGCACTTCCCTGCTCGGTGGTTTTCACCTCTAGGCAAAGTGCTGTAGCCCAAGCATCCCCATCTGGAGCCCTTCCCCTCGAGATCTGAGCCAGAAAGGCCCTTTCACGGCTTTTAAACTGCCGCCTTCCCTCCCTGTGCCTGCTCCCACCTTGCACAAAGGTGGAGTTAAAGCTCTGCGTGTGTCCCAGCACCGGTGCTGCTTCCCATTCCCACATCATGSTTCATTTTCCCTGTGCGAGAACTTGCGGTATCTGAAACCTGTCAGGGCCCGAGGAGTGAGGGATGGAGCTAGGGTGTAGGAGAGCCTCCTGYCAGTCCTAGGTTAGGCTCACGAGGAGTAAGGAAAAAGGAGACAATTTTGAGTTGAGTTTTCCTTCACTGGGGAGGCACCAGGGATTCCTTTCCGCTGCATTTTTGGACCAAATATTTCTTTTATCTCATGCTGGGCTTCATCCTCACCTGGTGTAAGTCAGCAGGGCTCCTGTGAAGCCAGGCAGTGGCTGGAAGGAAAACCCTTGGACGGGAGCCCAGGATGCCCTCCGGAGACATGGAGAAGGGCTGGTTGGCTGAGGCTGCCAGGCCCCCAACAGCCTGAGGCCTGGCCTGAACCCTCTTGAGGAGGGGATCAAAGGATGTCCCTCTGCTTCCGTGTCCTGGGGGGTGACAGGGCTCACGCTGCCCCTGGCTTCGTTTGCTGCGGGAGCTCGGATCTGGGGCAGCCCCTTGTGCAGATGTCCTCCTGCGCTCGGTGGCATCGCAGAGGTGGCCACGTGCGTGGCCGGCCYGTGTTGTGCCCGTGCACTTGGACCTTGCAGCACGGAGCAGATCTGCTTGTTTGATGCAGAGTTTTGTGTGACCTTCTGGCCGGGTGTCTCAGGGATTCCTGCCGTCCTCCTCCCTTCAGTACCCCACGAGCTCTGACTTGGGTGTTTTCCTCTTGTGCTGCTCCCTGCAATGAGCCCAGCTGCCAGAAATAGATCGAGGGTCTCCTAATGCCCGGGCAATGTCCCTTGTGCTGCCAGTGCTGTAACCGATCCCAAAGTGACCTAGTCTCAACCCGTAAGTGACCTATGGAGAGTGGGCAAAGCTGGAGGCTCCCCAGCTTGTTTGGCTGAAGAGGCCCCTGCACAGCCTGGCATCGTGCAGTGGCCACGTGGCCTCCTGCACACACTGGAGCTTCGAGGCTGAAGGGTCTGGTGGTGCCGGCAAAGCTTTAGCTCTTGGGAGGCGTTTCCTTCACCCGCTGCGAGGTCCCTGCTCCACGCTCTGTGCTGAGTTAGCTCAGGGACGCAGCACCCGCGTTGTTACAGGGCTGYGGGCTGCTCTTCTGCGGCGTTCGCCTCCCAAAGGAGCAGCCTCGTGGCACAGCACGAGCATCAGCAGAGGGGTCAGTAGCACCAAGCTTTGGGCTGGGCTTCAGGGAAATGTCCAGCTTCAGCTCCTCTGGAGGAATCTGATGTGATTTCAGAAATAAAGGAAGGAATTATTGGTAAAATGCAAGAGGATTTGGAGAGGGTTTGGTGCGAATACTCTGTGTGTCTCTCTGCTGTTGCAAATGGTGTTATGGCCTGTCCCCTAAGAGGGAGCATTCCTCAGAAGGTCAGGTCCAGCATTTTGCATTCCCAGGGTCTAGCCCAGCATGGACAGGAACAAACCCAAGCGATAGGAGCTGGCCCAGGGTGGCCTGACCCAACTCATCACCCGGGATCGATCGGAGGGAGCAGCTGTGAGGAAGCCCCAAACCAGGGCACTAGGTGGGCTGGTGTTCAGCAGCTCGGGCAGGAGGTGCAGGTGACCCTCTGTTCACGGCCGCATCCCGGATCACGTCTCCGGAGATAAGCTGTGCTGCCGGGGGCTCGTGGAGGACGTGCGGCTTCCTCGCCTCTCGCTGCTGCYAGGGCTGCCTGGTGCCTCCTGCCTTGTCTGGTTCATCTAGGTGACGGGCTGTCGTGTCCTTCCTGTTTGCTCCCTTCCCAATGTCTGCCTGGGAAAGAAGTGGATGGCATCCGTGTCTCTTGGCCATGCKGGCTCGGTGGTTTTGCTCTGGTCTTTCACAGGTGGCACCCAGGCAAAGTGCCCGCTGCGGGCTTGGGGAAGGAGAAGGCACACTGGACTCCATCGCAGTGCCTGGTGGCTTCCTTGAGCTGCACGGGTTGCTACAGACATCACCTGTAGAAACCCAGGGCCCTGGGGGCCTGGCTGTACTGCAGCGTGGGCTGCCTTTGTGCTGARAGGCCCAACTAGCCCTCCGGGTCCTGCGTTTCCTGCGTGATGTGTCACTGATGTGGGATTCCACCTGCATCCCTGTTGCAGGCTCTGCCCAGGCAAGATGAGTGCCACTTCCTTGAGGCATTGATAGAAATGACCATTGCGGGATAATCTGCACCAGGATGGCTCTTAATTTCCCATGTTACTCATTGACCTAGTTCTTGGAGGCCGTATCTGCACCTTCCCGAAGGCTGTGGGTGCCCATGGAGGCGCAACTGCTCCGTTTGCTGCACTTCTCCCTACGTCAGGGGAAAGCTTGGAGTGGTTGTGGGGCAGTCCTGCATTTTGGGGCTCACCAGCATCCTTAAAAAGCACTGTGCTGGCATGCCATGTGTATGTCATACCCCTGGGTAAGGACTAGTGTGAGGAAGGGGAGGGCAGGCAGGAGGAGGCAGGAGTTTCCCATCTCTGCTCACGGAAAGGGTCCAAATCAAGGATAACTCGGCTGTGCTCTCAAGGCTGTGGTTGCTGGAAATGTGTCTTCAGTCTCCCACTATCCCCCAAACCTCCCGGCCTGGGCTGCGCTGCTTTTGGCACCACCAGGGTTAACTGTTGGGCTCTGATAGGACCTGGTGGAGGCTTCAAAGGTTCCCAGCTCTGCTTCATGTGGCTCTCTAAAATTAACCATCTAACCTTCCTAAAAATACTCGGAGGGCACTAGCCCTTGGAGAGCAGAAGTACTGCTGGCTCACGGTTTCTAGACCAAGCCATTGGAGAGATGATATCACCTGCCAATGTATGTCTTGCAGCCCTGCAAAGCCCTTGGCTTTCTCAAAGTCTCCTGCATCGCACCTTGTCCTCAAATCCGACGCGAGTGCACAGCTTGATCCTGCCGGAGGAGGAAGCGGCTCCAGGAGAGATCCCATAGTGGAAGAGGGTTTGAGATCCCGTGGTGGAAGAGGGTTTGAGATCCCATGGTGGAAGAGGGTTTGAGCTGGGGCTGCCACAGGCCACCTGTGATGTTCATGTTAGTGGGACCCAGCAGAACCTGAGCAGGTCCCTGCCAGCCCTGAGGCTGTTTGGAAGTGGCCCTAGGGGTTAGTCCTGGGTGCTTTGCTAGGAGGCACAGAGCCTGGGAGCAGGACCTTGTGGGGAGCTGTGTCCCAACCTCCCCGCTTAGAGAAAAGGCATCTCAGAGAGCTGTGAGCACTGACACGTCATCTCCCATTCCCCTCTTGGGGCGCATGTCCACCTTCCACCTTGGGGCGCGTGTCCACGCTCTSTGCCACCTTCCTCTTCCCCATCTGCCCCGAGGACAAGCTGGGCCCTTCCTTGCCCTKTTTTCCTGGCCCACGGCAGGAGGGTGGAAGGGGCTGCAGGGGCAGCCGGGGAGCTGAATTTTCCATGAGCAGCTGTCAAAATGTAATCTCCCCCGTTGCTCAAGCTGGCAGCTTAGGCAGGATAAATTAACTGGGATTTYGGGGATTGTGGAAAATACCAGGGCCCGGAGGGGACCTGTCCAGCGGCACCTCCAGGGACAAGCCCTATGCACACGGATTGCACGGCCACAGCGCTGCCTGCGGCACCCACGGGACACGTTTGTCACGGCCCTGGTGGCACTCGGGCAGCGGTGACCTCTGGGTTTTGGAGGCGCGTCCCGCTGTGCTGCCTGCCAGCCTGCCCTGGGGCACCTTAACGCTCTGCTGCGCTCGGCAGCCTCCGTGCAGGGGGTGGCACCTCCTCACGCGCCGACCCTGGACACACGGAGCGTGTCCCTCTTCGCGGGGACCTACTTGTCGTGTCTCCGGCCCCTGGCGTCGCGGGGGCCGCCGGCAGATGCTTTTGCRACGCCAAATATTTGCGCAGAGATCCAGGCCCCCGGCGCGGCGGCTGCTCCGGCTCTGTGTGCGACTGCCTTTTCCCCAGGGCTTTTTGGACTCCCAAAAATAAACCCGCCGGGCTGCACCGTGGCCTGGGGCTGGGCTCCGCTCACCCTGGCCCTGTTTATCCCGCTCCTTCCCTTGGCTCCCGACGTCTGTGCCCTGCAGGGCCGCCCTGGCCGGGCTCTAACCCGCAGGGAGACTGAGGAGTTGGACCTCCTGCGGCCGCGGTTGCCCGTCCCGTACGATCCCTTCAGGTGCTGCCAGATCTGGAGCAGCTGTTTAAAATAGCGTGTCGGCATGGAAAAAGAAGGCGGGGGGACGGGGGGCTACCGGGGGCTGTTTCACAACCACCAGCGCCGGAGAAAAACGAGGGCTGCAGACGGTGCGGGACGGGCTCGCACAGAGCGAGGCACATGAACCCGGGTCCTTGGGARGGAGCCCCTTGGTGCCCTCCTTGCTGTGCTGTGACACGTTCCGCTCTGCCAGGTCTCACCTGGCGGGAATCGGGATCGCCCGAYGGGCAGGATGGGTTCGGCCGGACCGGGCTGCGGGCAGCGGCCCTCGCAAGGGGAGGCCTGTTGGGGCCTGCTGCGGATGGCCTTGGAGGCCATCTGAGCTCTCTCTATAAATATACCAGGAGGGTGAGCGCCCCGGAGGCAAAAAAAGCTATTTAAGCTAATGGGTCCTGCTGACACGACAAGAGACAGGTATAAATGGGTCGGGAGTAAATTTAGGCTGGAGATGAGCCGTGCAYACAGCTTGGGTGTTTTCAGTGGGCCCCAGCCCTGCTCCACGGGCATGCAAGAGCTTTTCCGAGCCACGTGCCAGCCCGGCCGCACGCGGAGAGGACGTTACATCTTCCTGCCYTGGGGTTCTTTGCTGCTAGTTGCCCAACTCAAGGGGCTGCCTGGTTTCGCAGCTGCCTTTGGCCTCGATTCCTCCTCTTCCTCCCGCTGCGAGGGGACCRGCGCTGCCCCCGCTTTCCTGTGAGACGAGAGCCCTGCGGAGGGGCAGGCCGCTTGGCGTCCCCCTCCCAGGCGAGGCAAAGTGCAAAGCCATCTATATTTATCGCTGCTGCTGCCGGGAGCGCTCGCCGGGCTCTCCAGCGGCACCGYGGTCAGACCCGATCTGCTTTTGACACCGGCTCCGTAAATTATCCACTGCCTCCCGCCTTCCCGGGCTCTCCCAAACGCTCCTGAGGTTTCTTGTAGCCACAGRTGTGCGGGAAGCCCCTGGCCTTTGGCGCTGTGACTTGCAAGGCCCTTCCCAGTTGCCYGCCTTGCAAAGTCCCTTTAAACTTGACTGCACTTGGGCTTTGTCCCCATTGCCTGGAAAYGAGTTGAAGGGCCCTAAACGGGGTAAGGATGTGGGCTAATGGGATCACGGGGAGCCGAGCTGCATCCCCTAGCCAAGAAATGCTTCCCTGGTCTGGAAGGAGGCAGGAGCATCAGGTTAGTGCAGTTTCCAGATGGCTCCTAATTGCTCTCGAGAGGAAGGAGGCGAAGAGCTCAAGTGAGATTAGGGAGATGGACAGAGGGTGCTGGGGTCAGCCTGGAGCAGGGGCTGTGAGCGTGGGCACCAGCRAAGGGTGCCCATGGGGTGGCAGCAGGCCGGGTGCCCTGGCGAGGGTGAAACCAGGCCATGCACTGCGGGCAGCGGGGCTTGGCATAGGGCTGGGAGCAGAGCCGGAGCTCTGCTCGGGACGGGAGGGCTGCGATGGCGCTGGTGGTGGCCCYGGGCTCTCCCGGGGGGTCCCAGGGGCCTGCGCGTGGCGCCGGCCACTCGCCCTTTAAGGCTGGGCAGCAGCTGGCGGCCACGTGCTCGCCGCCCTGGCAGGCGCCCCGC